TGACAGTGTCCCACACAGGCTTCTTTTGCAAAAGATCTGGGATGTAGGGATTCAAGGGAGAATGTTTAAGTGGATTAGGAGTTTTCTCTCCTCCGGACTACAAAGAGTCGTCGTTAGTAATTCTACCTCGGAATGGGTAAAGGTGGAATGTGGTGTCCCACAGGGTTCTGTCTTAGGCCCACTACTCTTCCTGATTTATGTTAATGCCTGCATCAGCGCAGTGAATTGGGAGGCTCTAATGTTCGCGGATGACATAAAAATATGGAGTGAAGTCAAGTGTGATGATGACGCAGAGGAGTTGCAGTCGAACATCGACAAACTGTGTGCTTGGTCGAACAGATGGCTTTTGAAGTTTAACGTGTCCAAATGCGTGGGTTTTGCACCTGAACACCGGCCGCAATGCCTCTCCCAAACACCAGTACTATATTGACGGGACGAGGTTAGAAACTGTGGAAAGACACAGAGATCTGGGTGTATGGACGACCACAAATATATCGCCATCAGAACACTGTAGAAAGATGGTTCAGAAGGCAACTAGTACTATACACTGGATCAGACGTGCATTTAAAATATTTCCTCCCGAACTCTTCGAAAGACTCTTTGGTGTCTTTGTAAGACCTCATCTAGAGTATGGAATGCCGGCAGCTTCACCATGGATGAGGAAGGATATCAACTTACTCGAACAGATGCAACGCAGAGCGACAAAGATGGTCGACGGTCTAAAGCATTTGTCTTATAAGGAGAGGCTGAATTTGCTTGGCCTATTCCCTCTCTCTTATAGACAAATAAACTGCGGTCTACTCTGGACGTTGCGGATTGTTCGCGGCCAGGGTTGCTCATTATGAGCAGAGGACTTCTTTGAGTTCGCCCGTACAAACCAACTACGCGGCCATGCATACAAAGTCGGTAATGAGGGAACACGTTTAGACCGACGAAAATTTTCCTTCAGCCAGCAGGTTGTCAGGACGTGGAACTCGCTTCCAAGCGAGATGGTGACGGCTGACACAGTTTGTGTGTTTAAAAGAAAACTTGCTCGTCTAGTTTTCGACAGAAATCGGCTTGTACAGCATGACTATGCACAGCCAGTTTTGTAAAATCTGTCATATACAATCTTCCGCACTAATTTACAGTGACCCCATGCACTACCTTATGATTACGATTGAACTGTGACCCAATCACATTTTAAATGCCTGCAATTTTATTTTATTTTTGAGTATGAATCTGCGAAAGCACTGTACATAAATAGGGTCATCAAGGGCTCTGCCTGTAACCCTTCAATATACATACATACATACAATATGATGGACAAGGTCTAGGTCGTGCGTCACTCGTTCCTTCGGAATGCAGGATGTGGACTCTGGGGCTCCCCTTATGACAATCTTTTGCTTACGATTTATGGAAGAGCTCATTACTGTCCCGTCCGCGCTAGGACTATATAATGCTACTGTAGTTTTCCCGACGGCTGTTGGCACTTCGGCATTTGAGTGATTTTCGGCGGGCGAAGGGAGTTTAGGGCATGGATTTCCATGTGACATACTTGCTCCGGCAGTGGAGATCTTACAATCATTACCCTGTTGCAATGTACTGCACAAAGTTTTATCGTGTCCTGTTCTATAAACGGAATGGTTAGGGCACTTTCCACATGAGTTAGCCTTGTGAAGCAGTGGAGTAATGGCGTTACCTTCCAAAAATAACGCCGACTCCTTGTAGTTTCTAAGAGATCTTCTGAGGGTCACCCTGACTTTCCCAACTTTAGTGTTCGATGATTTGGTAGGTTTTGTTACTATAGCAGGCAATGGAACCTGACTTATGTTTAATGCATTAGCGTCGACCGCCACGTTATCCACCGGAACTGATTTGTCTAGTTCTCATTCGACAAAAACTCGGAGAGCTGGGGATTCGACTCAAATTCGAAGGACGCGCCTTGGATGTCACATACGACGATGAAATCTGTACTAAATGTTTCGGACGCATCCATTTATTTTCGAAAATGGAGGGAGAGTTAACAGGCCTGAAAACGGAGGTATAAAGTTAAGGAATCTTACTCACCACTTATGTGAATAGAAGAAGCCGGTAAATTCGACAATCCAGAATATGAAAAAAACATATGCAACCACGGCTTGTTTAGCCATACCAAACGCCGGAACTGGCGACGGTTCGTCGAAGGAACTAAACACAATTGGATGCCAGTCTCTTAGGCGAGAAAAGGACTAACCAAAGCTAACTCAGAGAACAACAAAACATCCCAAGAAAACAGCATATACCTCTGTACGGTCGAAGAAACGAAGGCCGCCTACATACACACAGATCAGCTGAGGAAGATCCACGAAGGACCACCGGAGGCCCCCAACTATGTTGAACAATAAAGATATCGGAACATATTATGGACCGAAACCAAGCCAGAATATTCAAGTGGAGGCTTCGAAAAAAACTGAAGTTAGTTTTTTTCGACGAACAACACGGAACACAGAGGCAAATGTTAACAACACGAAGATGAATGAATCGTACACGGATCTGACTTTCGCTAGCTCAAGTGCTAGTTCATCCAGAGTCAGCGAAAGAAGTAAGCTGATAGAGAACGCTCAATCAGTAGGAAGAAGACATGGAATTTATGTAAGAGGCGTTCGGCCTCCGTCAGCTCATTTAACCATATTCCAGGTAGAGTTATCAGGTCGGGTTCGAAGTGGATCACGGTCAGTCTTATTTCATGCAGTATACTGAATAGACTTCGCACATTTGTGTACATAACTTTCATATTACTTGATTCTTTCGACTTTTCGAAGTTGGTTGCTTGTCCTTTGGCTTGATAGTTACTGATAAAGGTTTGGCACGGTGTAGTCAGTCCTCTATCTGATTTCGAATCTATAGACGCTTCATTAAGCAAGGTTTCGCCGTTATTTTCGGAAAGGGACGCTGTCATTCTACCTTATCACAAGGCCAACTCCGTTGGAAAGTGCCTTAAACAGTTCGCTTATGGAGGAGGACACGACAACTTTTCGTACTGAACATTACATTGTGAAAGTTACCATGCCAAAGCTCGTACGTCATACGAAAATTTAGGTCTTACATCCCCAACAACGGGTTAAAATCCGCCTAACGTTGGTGTGCCATCATCCATCGGGAGTACCACGGTGGCCAAATATCGTCCATCTGCGGGTGGGTCAGTAAAGAGCTCGTTCGTAAATCGTAAGCAAGATATCGTAATAAGGGGTGCCCCAGTGTCTACGTCCTGAATTCTGAGGGAATGTATCATATCGTTCTTGTTAATGTGAAATCATAGGAGTAGTGGTCGACTGTTTACTATGACCTAATATAGTTGTATATATGTTTAATATGGCCTTAATGTAGACATACGCACGACTAATATGCAGGGTTTTATCGAAGGGTAAAAAGGGAGGAAGAAAGAAAGAATATAACTATCTGTTCTATGTTTATCAATGATTCTATCTTTTATAGCCTTCATCATAGACAGAGGCATTCGCGTGTTCAGACATAGTTCTTGTAAATCTGATAGAAAAGATTCCCCCCGTTTTCCGTAATATGCTCTTGACTTCCTGCAAAATCTACACCCACTAATATTCTACATCGATGGAAAAACCTACCAGTGTAACCCTCAGCCGTTAATTCAGGCAATTCTAATTCAGGAGAGTCGCTTATCAAAGTAGACGCCGTTGGAACATTAACCTGTTGGGCAGCCTCCGTTGCGGCATAGTAGGCCGTCTTCAGGCGCCGGATTCGCTTATACGCAGTGCTCCGGTTGATTCCAAAATACTTACGTTTCATTTCTACTTAATCTCAATGGCAAAAATGATAAACAAAGACTCAAAGTGCAGCTTTTCAGATGACTCTGCTACAACGGATATCTCATTGATATTGCTTAAATCAACAGGCAATTATTCAATGATAATACTAATTTACAGGTAAAAACATACAAAATATCATAAAAGATAGCAAAAGGGCAGTTCATGACATGACAGTTCGACCATCGATTTCGATGATGTCCACCGTGTGCCCCACAGCAGGTTGGAGCAGGGACGGTGACTTGCGCAGGGGTTTATAGTGCCAGTAGACTTGCTTTGGATCTACCTACACTCTCTCCACCTCCCTCGCCCGAGCCCGGTGTCAAGACAGAGTCAAGAAGACCGGAGACGAGGGAGGCCGCAGGTGGATGGCTCGGACGGATCCTCACCTTAGCGTTCCACCACACCCCCTGGTCCACACAACAATAACCAGGATTTCAACCAACACAACAGGGATTTGGAGGCTGGCACGGCCGAAACCGCACCTAGGCGTGCCGCCAACGCCTGGCTCGGATCCCACACTGTGGTGGGAATGCCATAAAGGCCACATTAAAAAGGAGCCATTGCAGCCTGACTCTCGGACCGCCTCCAGTAATGGAGGAGGTCCAAGGTACCCCGTCAGTTGGCAACCTTCCAAGCCACGGCTTTTAGCGCACCGTGATAGCTTCAAGCGCGTCAGATTGTTTATAGTGAGGAAAATGCGCCGAGTCGTCGACCTCACTCTCCCTTCCCATTCCCACACCCCAGCTACTGTCCGAGCCAGTCAGTAGACTGGAGTGGGGAATGGGCGCGGTGGCTGACATGGTCGACTGACCATGCCTGCACGCGCCACAGCACGACCTGGCCCCCTATACACACAAACACCAGGATTTCACACAACGGGGGTTGAACGGCGTGTCTGTCACTTGAGTGAGAGTGCCGTGGAAAGTGCTGTTGCAGCCCGTCCCCAGCCCACCAGTCCGCCACTCCACACAACACACACACACACAACGTGACGAACTGCGTGAACCGGGAGCGGGCCTCAATCAGCAACCTTCCTATCCACGACACTTGACGTGTCGGGATAGTCTCGGACACAAGTCACCCGTGCAGCCGAAACCGCATGGGGACCGAGTCGAGATGCACACTTCCCACTTGCGTGGGAGGCGGCAGTTGTGTGCATAAGGTGTGTGGGGGTTGATGTCTGGTGGGGTGATGGTGTTAGGAGGCAGAGAGTGAGGGAATGTGTGGTGTGACCGGCGGTTGTCTACCGCAGGTCGTCGTGGATGCGCATGTGGCCGAATAGGCCCATGCGGTGCCTGAAAGTGCGAGGACAGTGTGGACAGTTGAGACGAGCTTGGTTGGTGCTCCAGGCACTGGTTCTCCGGTCTCTGTGCGATGGATTCGCAAGTGACCGACCAGGCCGATGCGTGAGGTGAGTGTGCGTAGACAGTGTGGGCACGTGAAGTTGGCGGTGTCAGAATCAGCTACAGAGGAGGCGTTGGTGGTGGCGCAGATGGACGGTGCGAGGGTGGTGCTAAGCATAATGGGCGCGGTTGGTGTGTCGGAATTGTGGTCGATTCCGCTCTCGTGGATGCGCATGTGGCCGAATAGACCCACGCGATGCGTGAAGGTGCGAGGGCAGTGTGGGCAGTGGAGGCGAGTGCGGTGGGTGTAGGTTGGTGCTTCAGGCACTGGTTCGCCGGTCTCTGTGCGATGGATTCGCAAGTGACCGACCAGGCCGATGCGTGAGGTGAAGGTGCGGTCGCAGTGAGGACAGGTGTAGTACTGATTCTCATTGCTGGAGTCAGGAGAGGCGGGGGTGGTGCCGGTTGTTGTGTCGCGGTCGGAGATGTGCTAGACGGCTGCCTGAGCGGCCGCCGTTGGGGCAGTGGTGGTGGTGGTGGAGGAGGAGGAGGAGGAGGAGGATGGAAGTGGTGGTGCAGAAGAATTCACAGAGTTATTCGGCGGCAGAGAGGACGAGGATGACGCGGGCGGGGGGATGAGGTTTGGTGCAGTTCGAGAGGTACAGTTGATCCGAAGATGTCCAACAAGGCCGATTCGAGCCCGGAATGTCCGCTTACATCGAGGACACGTTGGAAGCAGTTGTGCGACAGCGTTGCTGACTGGGCGCAGTTGTGATTTGCGGGCTTCGCGTTTCGCTTTGGCGGCGGCGATGCGGTTGGCTTCGTGGATAGCAGCGCCCGTCTTCACTGTGCTCCTCCATGCCGGACGATCGCAGGCGAGCTCTTCCCAGTTGGTCGGGTTGATTTGCAGTAGCTTCAGGGAGGACTTCAGGGTATCCATGTATCGACGAATTAGGCCTCCTTGACGACGAGAACCCGTCGCGACGTCTCCGTAGAAGAGTCGTTTGGGTAGCCGCTCGTCGTCCATGCGCACCAGGTGGCCGCTCCAGCGCAGCTGTATTTGTCTCAACATGGAGTAGATGCTGAGCATTCCAGTTCGTTCCAGCACATCAGTGTCGGGGATGCGATCCTGCCAGTTCAGCCGCAGGATGCGACGAAGACAACTGAGGTGGAAGTGGTTAAGACGGCGTGCCTGCCTCGTGTACACCGTCCAGGTCTCTGCTCCGTAAAGTAGCGTCGGCAGGATAACGGCCTTGTACATCTTCAGCTTCGTGTTCAGTTGAAGACCGTGACGATTCCAAACTGTGCTTTGGAGACGACCGAAGGCTTGACTGGCTTTCGAGATCCTGTTGGCGACTTCGTCATCAATCTTGGTGGTGCGGGAGAGAGTGCTGCCCAGGTACGGGAAGTTCTCCACCACTTGCAGTAGGGTCCCATTCACGCTGATTTGCGGCGACGCGTTGGGGGCTGTGGCCGAGTTGGGTGGCGGTTGGTGCATCACCACCGTCTTCTGCGTGTTAATGACCAGACCGAAGTTCTCGCAGGCGGCGGAGAACAGGTCCATGCTCCATTGCATCTCCTCTTCTGAGGTGGTGTTCAGGGCGCAGTCGTCGGCGAAGAGGAGTTCGTGAACGGTTGTTGTGGATACGTGTGATTGGGAGTGCATCCGCCGTTGATTCATCAGGTGACCGTCCGTCCTGTAGGCGATGCTAACCCCGGGACGTTCGTCGCGGTAGGCGTCCAACAGCATGGCAGAGAACATGAGACTGAAGAGGGCTGGTGCCAGCACGCATCCCTGTTTCACTCCGTTAGTCACTGCGAATGCCTCTGAGACAGCTCCGTTGTCCGTGACTCGCGCCATCATACCGTCGTGCAGCTGACGTACCATCTGAGTGAATCGCTCTGGACAGCCGAATTTCTGCATGATCTTCCACAGTCCTTCACGATTCACCGTGTCGAAGGCTTTCGTCAGGTCCACGAACGTAGAGTACAGGTGGGTCCGCATCTCCTGACACTTCTCCTGAAGTTGGCGGGCGGCGAAGATCATATCCGTGGTCCCACGATGACGACGGAAGCCGCACTGGCTTTCCGGCAGAAGGCCCTGTTCCAGGTGGTTATTGAGGCGGTTAACGAGGATGCGAGCGAAGATCTTCCCGGCGATGTTCAGCAAGGAGATGCCACGGTGATTGTCGCAGATTTGGCGATTCCCTTTTCGCTTGTATAGGTGCACGATTGTTGCGTCCTTGAAATCTTGCGGGACTTCACCTTGACGCCACATCTCCTGGAAGAGCGCAGTCAGGTGATCCATCAGTAGCGGACCTCCGTGCTTGTAGACCTCAGCAGGGATTGCGTCCGATCCGGGTGCTTTCCCGCTGGAGAGCTGCTGCACGGCCCTAATCGTTTCCTGGAGAGATGGCGGGAGGTCGAGGTCCGCGTTGGTCTCGACTTGCGGCAAACGCGCGATGGCGGCGTCGGAGATGGCGGAAGGGCGGTTTAGGACGCCTCGGAAATGCTCGGCTCATCGCTGAAGGATTTGCGTCTTCTCAGTCAGGAGAGTGCTGCCGTCGGCGCTGAGGAGAGGAGCAGTGCCCTTCGTCGGCGGACCGTAGACAGCTTTGATCGCGGAGAAGAAGTTCTTCCATTCGTTGCGGTCCGCATAGCCTTGGATCTCCTCAGCTTTGCGAGCAGTCCAGGCGTCCTGCATCTCGCGCAGTCGCTGCTGGAGGTGACGGCGACTGCGGTAGAAAGCAGCTTTGTTGTCGTCAGTGGGGTGATCGACGTAGGCTTTGTGTAGGCGGTTCTTCTCAGCAAGCAGATTTCTGATGGCGGCGTCGTTGTCGTCGAACCAGTCCTGGTGTTGGCGGGGAGCGCGACCGAGGACGGCGAGCGCCGTCGCCTGGACCGTGTCTCGCAGTTGACACCAGCGGTTATCCACGGAGGCGTTCTCGGCGGCGTCGTCGGCGGCGGCAGCGATAGGAAGGTTGTCTAGCCGTTGAGCTAGCTCATTGCTGAAATGGAGACGGTGAGCAGGCAAAGACAACAAAGTAACATTCAGCTTACCTGAGGGTCGCTTACCTTGAGGTCTCCTGCGAGGCTGTAGGCGAATACGCATCTTCGAGATGACGAGGCGCTGTTCGGTCCACCCGTCAGCACCCGCGATCGCCTTCGTCACCAGCACGTCCCGCTGATCTCGCCTCCGGACGAGGACAAAGTCCAGCAGGTGCCACTGACGCGACCGAGGATGCCTCCAGGTGGCCTTCTCTCGCTCCGGCAGACAGAAGAACGTGTTTGTCAGGATAAGGCGGTGTTCTGCGCAGGTGCGGAGCAGCAGCAGACCATTGTCGTTTGAGCCGCGGAGACCGTGGGGACCCAGCACTCCTCTCCAGGCAGTATGGTCTGTGCCGACGCGGGCGTTGAAGTCACCAAGGACAACCAACTTGTCCGCCATCGGCACAGTCGCCAAGAGGGCGTGCAGGTCCTCGTAGAATTTGTCTCTGACGGCGTCGGGGTTGGTCATGGTCGGAGCTTAGGCGCTGATGATGGTGGCGAATTGGCCCCCCCGCCGGAGAGGCAGGCGGAGGCTCATCAGGCGATCGTTGATGCCCTGCGGCAAACAGGGCAGTCGTCCCACGATGTCGTTCCGAATGGCAAAGGCGACACCCGCGTCCCGTCGCTCTGCCCTGGGTCGACCGCTCCAGAAGGAGGTGTAACCGGCACCCACCTCCTCCAGTTGGCCTTGTTCGGAGAATCGGGTCTCGCTGAGTGCGGCGATGTCCACCTTGTAGCGCGCCAGTTCTCGTGCCACTAACGCTGTCCTCCTTTCCGGTCGGTTGCTCCGCGGATTGTCTAAAAGGGAACGAACATTCCAGGCTGCCAGAGTGAGAGGACTCACTCTGCCAGTCTGGTGACGACGAGTGGGGCGACGGGAGGGAGATCGAGAAGAAGGTGACGAAGGAGAAGAATAGGCAGAGGAAGAGGTAGAAGAGGTAGGATGAGGAGAAGGAGTATGGTTGTTGTTGTTATTGGTATTGTTGTTGTTTCGATTTTGATTGTTTCGACCATGATTAGACGTCTGCGGCCCTGGCTAGCCTGGAGACGGCGTGGTACCCAGCAATGTTTAGGCCACCTTTTCTAGGCCCTTCCCCTCATGGGGGCAGGCAGTGCCGCCCCTGAATCGGGCTTCCCATGTGCCTGGTTGGCGCGACCGATCCCACTATGGGGCCACGACTTTTATGTTCGTAGTGGAGAACGACCTCATATGCCGTGAGTCCGCGGTCTCCGTCGGCGAGGGTGGGCGCGTCTCAGCGAAGGCGATGCGGAGACCCGTCCCGGCAGCAGTTATCCAACGGCGTACCGGGCAGAGCCTCGTCTCGACGATGCCGGCGCAGTGTTTCATCCGACCATCCATCCAGCGGAGTCCGCAGTACACTGTGCACGCGGCACAAGCGCACAGCGCCCTCACCTGGTTTAGCCCGCCGGTCGAGACGGTTGCCCGGGGTGTGGCCGCTGAGCAGAGCCCAGCTACGTGGAGCCACATGTGACAGTTGGGTGCCAGCAAATGGACGCTAGGAGTAGTCTCACCCGCAAGCAAGTGAGCGACCACTACGACCATCACGTGAACCCACCGCTGACACCCCCTACACCCCGCAGTTCATGACATACCACAGTAACGTATGCACGTGGACCTCAGTAGACAGTAATAGCACTCACGACGAGAGGAACGCAGCTCACGTGGGAGATAAGTGCCGGAAAGTTACACACTTAAGCAATTAAGCGCATTATATCAGGATTGCCCAGACATGTCAATAGCACAACTAACGAGGTCCAAAAGTACTTTTTGCTATTAACAAAACAAATTTTTACCGAAAAATGCACGCTTATTCACGGAGTAATGCCTGTTAATGGTGCATTAACGACGAGAAAACTTAGAGGGGGCTGACCCCCTCATAGCCCCTTCTTGGCCCCCTTTCAAGAGGGGGCCACGGGCTGGCAGAGTAGTGCATTTAAGTTGAAAATTTGCATATGAATCCACGCAAGCGAGTGGCTTTCGGTGATATTTGTTGGACGTGGGGAGATAAGTCAAGGGTATTCGTATAGCTGAGACCTAAATCTTTTACCGATTGGGCCTCTGTTATTTCATTATCCTCGAATATTATGGGGGGAAGTTTTAGTGGGCCAAATATCAGGAGATGGCATTTTTCGGGTGAAAATGGCATCTGCCACTGACTACTCTATTCGCTGAGTTTTCCGAGATCAGTTTCAATTGTTCTATGAATATTGGCTACTATATTCCCGTTATATGCATATGCAATTTTGAGGTCGTTCGCATACAAAAACGTCTTAGCTGAGACAGATATGGACGATAAGTCGTGTATGTGTATGAGAAATAGAAGGGGGCCTAGGATTATGCCTTGAAGTACTCCACTGGTAATAGGGGATGGTTCTGTGACTTCGTTTCGAATTGGCACCACCTGGTATCGGTTTTGAAGATAAGAATTAAGAAAATCGAGAAGGGGTGGCCTAATTCCATGACTGTTTAGCTTTGTCTGTAGTCGTTTATGGGAGACTTTGTCAAATCGTCAGGGCAGAAGTAAATGTCAGCCTGGAGGTGTACTTATGCGGGTCAGACAGGACTGACCAGCATGTGGTATTGTATAAGGGATTGAAAACGGATATCGTCAGCGGAGAATTGATACGCTGGATGAGGCTATTCGCGTCAAAATGGCCAGACGAGAGGAATCCAGACGCGATCGGTCACAGTCCGCTTCGAGCCCAGCCGAGGAGTGGGCAAGAGAGGTACGAACAAACTACTCGTAGACGGCGAATAAAAAGGGTTCCATCATAAGCGGCGACAGACCGCTTGAGGTCAAGACGAGGAGATGACATCAAGAACAGCGAAAATCGTCGCTATGGGAGAGGAGTGATAGCAGTGGATTTAGTAACCATTTCAAGCCAATGGGTTGTAAATACATAAATGAGTGTTTCCACTTATTCTTCCGGTACATCCCAGCAGAAAACTGGAAAACGTATACCGCATAGTAATTGCATTTACAGAAAATTACGGACGATATTTAACGGTACGTGCCAGAGTAAGAAATAAGAAGACCTCACGTTGACTGTTACGTCTGGGGTGGACATGATATCTTAAAGCAATGGAATAGAGTACGTTTATTATTGCGTCCCCTGTGCGCTGTTGGTCTCCTTTAAACTGAGGAAGTAACCTAAAACCAACTCATCCATTTCGACTGCTGTTTGACTTTATTTGTTGAGGCTGTTTTTAGCCAATAGAGCGCGAATCGACAGTTTGTTGAAGTTAAATAAACCCGAGTTCCAAGGAAAAATAATCGCCAATGTTTTTAGAAAAAAAATATGTTCGATATAAAAATTAAAGTG